TCTTATACACATCTAGATGTGTATAAGAGACAGGCATAGTCATACTAGGTAGGGCTTCAATCGACTGAATCTGGTTGTAATTGCAGCCAGCTTCATCCAGGAAACTGCATATACGCGAGCTCGCCTCTCAGCCGTTTCTCCTTTTTGAGTCCGTCGTGCGAACGCAAATGAGGGAGTTGCGCAAACACTAACGAGGATCCCGACGGCAAGCATCGGCAGACGGCAGATACCACTGTCTCATCCCTCTCTCTCTTTCTCTCTCTCTCTCTCTTTCTCTCTCTCTCTCCTGTCCCTTCTCCTCAGCAGGCGATGAATCATGGATTGACAAATCAATCAGCAATGAAATCACCAATCAATCAGCAAATCAAGCTGATTCCATTGTATTACGATTAATCAATCAATCAATCAACCAATCAACCAATCAATCAATCAATCAACCAATCAACCAATCAATCAATCAATCAATCGATCAATCAACCAATCAATCAATCAATCAACCAATCAATCAATCAACCAATCAATCAATCGACCAATCAATCGAGCCGACAGATAAGGAGGCAAAAGAGAATAGAAAAACACACTGCAGCCAAACGCCGGCATCGTTGAGATTTTTTTTCAAAAGAAAAAAAGCAGAGAAATGAAAACACTGCTGCACAAAGGAAAAGATACACAGAGAAGGATGAAAAAGAGAAGCAGACTTTGAAAAAAAATTAACCCCCTACCCAAACGATAGAACAAACACAGAACACCGTGCTGCTGTAATTGTTCATCGCTGCTCCTGCTCGATGCCGTGACCTGCTGAGTTCGACAGCCATTCACTCGGAGATGGCTTCAGCTTGCTTCCTGTTTCCGATTAAATCCGACTAAATCCAAAAAAAAACTATTTCGAAAAACACACAAAAAAAAAAAAAGAAAGGGAAAAAAAAAAATCCTATCTTCTTCCTTTTAAAAGCGCTAGGATCCCCGGTTAAAACAGTGAATCAGGAGGAGGGGGAAGGGGGAGACGGAGACGAGCGGAAAAAAAGGGAAGAGTATCGAATGTTTTTTATGAATTTACGAGTCTGTCAGCAACCGCAAATATGGACTACATTCAGGAGCGACAAGTTCAACGAATCTAGTGCCTAGCCTAACTGACAATAACTGTGGTTAAGGAGAAGACAGCGGAAGATAGCGATGAGAGAGAGCAGGGATGAGAAGAGAGAGAGGGAGAGAGGGACGAAGAAGAGAGAGAGAGAGACGGAGAGAGAGAGAGAGAGAGAGAGAGAGAGAGAGAGAGAGAGAGAGAGAGAGAGAGAGAGAGAGAGAGAGAGAGGGGGGGGGGGGGGGGGGGGGGGGGGGGGGGGGGGGGGGGAGAGGGAACTAGTGCATGCGATCTTCGATGCAGCATGCGCACACGTCAGCAGCAAAGCATCATAGCCCCACAATGATGAATGGTCGAGAAACACTCAGTGTATAGCACTCGGGATCCATCGTCTGAGGTGAAGGAGAAGGGAGACAGGAAAGCGCCGAGAGCTAGGGAGAGGAGCAGGAGAGAGAGGAGGAGGAGGAGGAGGAGGAGGAGGAGGAGGAGGAGAAGTTGAGTACAGGAGTAGGAGGAAGAGAAGGAGGAGGAGGAAGAGAAGGAGGAGGAGGAAGAGGAGGAGGAGAGGAAACAGAGAAGTTCAGCGAAAATGGAAAACGGGGCAACACGTGAGTATTCGAGAGAGAAGGGGGAGGAAGAGGAGGAGGAGGTAGAGGTAGAGGTAGAGGAGAAGTTAGGCCTAGGACGTGAAGTACCAGATGGGAAAAAAAAAAAACAAGTACTAGATGGCAGTAACCGGATGACAACGTGGAGAAGCAAAAAACGAAGAGGAGGAGGAGGAGGAGGGAAGGGAGGAGAAGCAGCAGACAGAGGAGGAGGAGGAGGAGGAGGAGAAAAGGACGCGAAACGAAATAGGAGTTTCGACGAGGATAAGGAACGTTGTCAAGATTGAGAGTACAGTCCGACAGTCCGCAGTCCGTTTCGCGCAATCTCCCCTCCTCAGATCTCTTGAGAGATATGCCACTACCTACCTCACCCAATCGAGTGTGTGACATCAGCGGCGGGTGTGCGGCCTTCCCGACAGCTGGTTGGTTCTCTTCGCTACTCTCCGCGGCCGTCTGACTTGGCTACGGTAGCTTCCACTCACAATGATCAGTGAGTGAGCACTTCGACAACACC